ATTTGGGTTTGATGAGAGAACGTAGGAGAAATAGACCCAGACATAGAGGGAGCGAAAGACGAAGTCATAGTAGAAGACATGGCGGAACTTGAAGAGAGGGACGAAGCCATCGACAAGGGCGCGTCGGCGTACAGCGCGAACGACTGCCTTTTGCCCATCCCGTTTGCGTTTACGTGCACGCCTAGCGCAGCATAGTCAATATTAATATCGGCGTCCGAGTCCACTTTGTCCTCGTTGGTGGCGACGATGGGGTCAAGGGTAGGCGCGGGCTTGCGTCGGACGCGCGGTGGCGTGCCAGTGGCCATGGGCGCAGCAGACAAGAAGAGGAACGCAGCGAGGCAAGTGGCTGACAAGCGAGCGAGTGGCTGACTGCTGCTGCAACGCGGTTTAAGGACCCAATGCCTTGCCTAACTCGCTCGCTTTACACGTGTTGCCATTCCTCGCTTTAAGTACCAGCCCATCGAATCTATCCCATTCATCGACCTCGGACTCCCATTCCCATTGGATACTCGCGTCGCAGATAATTCGTTGGCAAGGTAGACATTGATTCGTTTGGATTCGTGAATATGACCAGACGAGGAAGAGACATTCGGTGTTCACATTGGTCCCCGCTTTCTCTCATCGTCAACTTCTCTCCATTTTTCCTCAACAACCGCCAAGAAGACGGACGAGAAACGCGCGCTCGTCAACCTCCTTGATGTACTAGCTTCATCACCTGCCACCCAATCGTCTCCAACACTCGTTCTTCGCTGCAAGTTCGCACCACGGCCAGCTCTGACGTCCCGAGGCAATGCATTAGTGGCTGATGGCGCCACTAACGAGCTCGTTAATTGACGGGTGGGCGGTCGAAGCTGATAATAATACATGGGCAAGGTGAGCATTTATCATTCTAATCGCACTCATTCCCTTCCCATGTTTTTTTAACCTCGGTACCGCCTTCATATATTGCGGCTCCATAAATTCACCAGACCCATGACTCTTAAATCTCCATCTGCTGTCTCTGCTATCTTCTGGCTATAGGCAATTCAAATTCATCCAGATGCCTACCCAACTCTTGGCGTCGGAATAAATTGGATCACCTATTGACTATGTCCGGTGTCCCGCTCTGCTCTGCTCTCGCCACTTGTTGCGATCTGCCTTTTCCGTCCGCACAACACTGCCTTGACTTTTCACTGGATCCTTCAACATCCTATCCTCTTTACGTCGCTTGATCGTCTCATACCTATTACCTTTCCTCCCAACGCTTCGTATTCTGTGTCTCGTCTTTCGGAATCCAAAAGACATACCAATAAAAAGTTTCCGTCCTGAGCCTTATTCCCAAGCCCGGATTCGAACCGGGACCTCCTGCAGAACGCTAGTTCTACAGCCAAGTTTTGCAGATACACACACACTATGTGCTGTGCCACTGGGTTTCTTATATCCTGTTCACTTCCAAGCTAAGTGGGTGACTGGCTCCTTGGTTCCATTGCGATTGAAGCGGATGTATAATCGCCCGTCCACCGCGGATAAATCGTATTCAACTCTTCTTTATTACTGCGCTGTTCACTGAATCTCCAACGCTCTCCTTCTTTTCCCTTTCACACCAATGCTTTGTATTCTGTATCTCATTTCGGGGCGAAAAAGAAATGAAAAAAAATGATTATCTGTGGTATAATGACCCAGCCCGGATTCGAACCGGGACCACCTGCAGATTCCAGGTTGAATCTGCAGAGGTACACTTGTGCTACTGGGCTTCTCACACCTGGTTCACTTCCAGGGTAAGTGGACACCTTGTCCCTGGTTTCGTTGGGACTTGGGTGAGCAAAGCCATTCATGCAAACATGTCCAAGTCGTATTCAACCCTTCTTTATTACTGCCCTTTTCACAGAATACTTACAATGCTCTCCCTCGCATAATTGTCTTTTGCCTGTGGTTCCGATACCTCGTAATCGTATTCTGTATCTCATTTCTGAGCCAAAAAGAAGTACACACCATTCATTTAATTCCCAGCCCGGAGTCGAACCGAGACTGCCCGCAGAAAATCAGTCCCAGACGATTGCGAAACTGTCGCCACTGCACACATGTGCTACTGGGTTTCGTATAACGTGTGGACTTCCGAGGTAGGTTGACCTTGTCCAGGTCGAAACTTGGGTGACTGCCAGAAAATAGTCTTTACCACTGCGTTTTTCGCAGCTTTTGCCGCTCTCCTTCCCATAATCATTTTTTGCCTTTCGTACTGGTGCCTCGTATTCTGTGTCTCATTTCAAAGCCAAAAAGTATTTCATACCACCACCCAATCACCCAGCCCGGAGTCGAACCGGGACCGCCTGCAGAACATCAGTGCAGAAGAACCCCAGGTGTCGCAAGTGCACACTATATGCTACTGGGTTTCCTATACCCTGTGCCCCTCTGAGGTAAGTGGGTAACTTATCCGTTTCTCGTTCTACATCAGCCTTCTGACATTTTGATTGTCGCGTTGATGGCGTTGTTTCGCGTTGTCGCGTTGTTCACAACGCACAACCCCACAACTCTAGTATGAAAACAAATACATTTTTTTAACAACACTAAAAACTCGTGCATATGATGGCACCAGCCAATACACGAGCGCGCACTGATACTCTTTCTCCCCAAATGTGGCGCGCGCACGCCTCACCTTCCTTATAAGGTAAGTGTTCCGGAGGTTGGCGTGGGCGTTGGTCTAGGCAATCAAAATAGAAGGGCATCATTGGTACTATAGTGTATCGGTTAGTATGGCTCTTTTCGTTTCGTTTGGTTTGATATGGCGTGTGTTCGAATCGGAGCCCGCTCTTCCCTTTTGTTGCGTATTTTTTTTTTTCTTTTTCTTTTTCCTTGATCCACCTTCCGCAAGCCCCACTGCGTGGGGCCCCCGCGAGTGGAAGCACCACGCAGTGGGCCCAGCGGCGAGCGTCAAGGGGGGTCTGCGGGGGTCTCCACCGCGTAAGTTATCATTTAAAAAAACTGAGATTTAACCGGAAAAAATTGAATCAAAGCTTAAAAAAGCTCCGGGCCCCAGCGGCGAGCGGAAGCCCCACGCAGTGGGCCTAGTGGCGAGCGTCAAGGGGGTCCGCAGGGGTCTCCCCCGCGCAAAATATGGACCAAAAAGCATGTATTTAATCGAAACAAATATTAAAATAATCCTCCAGGGATCGCTGATGATGCAGCAGCTGAAATAAAACAATTTCTTTGTTGAGAAACTGGCCGAAAAGGAGTGCACAGTGTGTACTTACTCCTAACTCGTCACCAATAATGGTATCTGATCTTATTTGTAAGCAATTGCCTTTTTTGGAGGTGATAGTGGGGGAGGGCAAGGGGGGTTCCAAATGTGCTTGCGGTACATCCCCCTGCACCACAAAGATCTCGGGCGCGTAGAAGCACGCGATGGCGCAGTGCTCCACGGTGATTGGGCCGTCGAAAATGGGTTGTGACTGAACCGGGGGAGGTACAACGAGGGGGCCATGGACTTCCGCATGCAGAAAGCGGTGATGGAGAAGGGGGAGGACTGGCTGACCTCGTTCAAAATAGACTGTCAGTAGAGCACAGCAATAATGGAGAGGGGACGCACGCGGCGTTGGTGCCAATAACGAGCCCGGCCCACACTACTCCGTCGTCATCGTTGGCCGCAGCCGCGGGAATGGAATGAGAAAGGTGGGGAGCAGGGTGATGGGCAGAGAAGGACAAGAGACGGGGGACAGGGGAACATGAATGAAGAGAAGAGAAGGTAGCAGGAGCGGGCCGTTGACGTTGTCGCGTTGTCAGACGTTGTGGCATTGTTTGCCTGATTTCCGAGCCGCGTTGGGCAAAAATTATCAAAAATTGTTGGCGTTGTCCGTTGCCGCATTTTGGCGCATTGTCACGCATTTTTTGGCGTTGTTTGGCGTTGCACAACCCCACAATCAGATTGTCAAAAGTCTGATGTAGTTGGGACTAGGGCGAGTACCGTGGGAATCGTTCAAAGTTCTTCATGGACAATTTGCATTTAACCCAATGGCAATAATCCTTTCACCCTAAAATATTTCTAAATTCGAAAAGAAGGAGGTGCACGGGAACGAAAGTAGGTATATTCCGGCACGGTCCCGTTGGAAGGTAAAGAAGGAGAGGAAAAAGGTCCTTGGCAATCGTCGCATCACCCAGCCCGGAATCGAACCAGAGTCTCCTACATAACCTCGAAACAGGGGACTGGTTCAAGTGTCACAGGTGCACCCCATGTGCTACTAGGTGTCTCTCACCTTTCCCGGGCCCGCTCCTTGGCTAGGTACGATAAAATTGAGCTTGTGTCTGATACTGTCCAGGCGTGTATGTAGGCAACGTAACGCATAACACAGCATCCTAAATCGTTGCCTAAATCTCAGGTAGTAACGCATAACGGAGCTCCCGTTGCTAACTTCAGACCTATTTTACAAATGCATTTTTTCTCGGTCAAACTGGACCCAAAAATTGTAAAAAAAAATTGTATACTATTCACAACATCGCACTGGTCGTTTCATCCGCCAAAAGTCCCTCTGTCCAAAGAACTCCGTTGTCATTGTACACCCAGATGTTTTCGGTATCTCCACCTGCCTTGAGACTACCATCAGCTCCCTCGGAATACCAACTGGCAGGCTGGGGCCGAATGGTTTCTCTCGGCGGGACATGACGGGTCGTCGAGGGCTCAGAAAGAGGAATGGGACATTTATTTAAGTAAACATGTATTTTAGGAACAATGTGAAAATCAAAATCAAAATCGACTGGCTGGTTGCCTAAATGGGAGAACATAACACGTAACGCGACCGTGGTTGCTAACTGCCGACCTATTTTGGAGCGTAACACACTCTCGAAGGTTGCCTACATACACGCCTGGACAGTAGTTGAATCTGGGTAAATTTATTGATTGATTGTTCCAATATGCATCCGCCTCGCTTTCATTCCGAATTTACGTGAGCGCCCCGCATATGCGTTCATGACTGGACTGAACCGGGAGGAAAATCCGGCGAGGATGAAATAAAAGAAAACCGTCAAGAAGACCACCCAGCCCGGAATCGAACCAGATCTCCTGCATAGCTAGAGAAATATGTCGTAACGTAGAACAGATGCACACCCTGTGCTACCAAGTGTTCCTGTTTGCGGTGACTGTGGGATAGGCAGGTAACCTGCTCTCTGGCTCAGTGGGGACTTGGGTGAGTACCTCGGGATAGTTCAAGGTTAATCATGGATGAGTCGTATTCAACTCCTTGAAACTAATTATTGCGTCCCGAAATATCTATGAATCCAAACGAGAGGAGGCGAGAAAGCACGGGAGCGAAGGAAAGAAATAGACAGAGAAAAAAAGCTTCTCACTCCAGTTATATATCACTCGACCCGGAATTGAACCGGGCCTCCTGCATAAATGTCGCTCCAGCAGAGGATTCCACGTAGGTGCACCCCATGTGCTATCGAATGTCTCTTACCTCTCTCGCTCCTCGATTAGGTACAATAGAATTGGAGCTTGTGTTTGGTGGTGGTTGAATCCGTAATTTAGTTATCAAGTGTTGAACGTGCCATTTTCCTTCTGAATTTGCCCGAACACTCCTCGTAGGAGTGAATTGGAACAAAACAAAAATCTGGGGACGACGAAACAAAGAGAAGATACAACCCCTAGCAAATCACCCCAGTTCGAATCGACGTGAGAAGATGGAGGGTCTGGGTATCAGATGGAACGGTGCACCGTGTTCAAGCTGGAAAATAGCTCTGGAAACGGGCTGGTGAGAAGGTGAGACCCTCCGTCGAGCATGAAGAATACGGCATTACGAGAATAACAAAGAGGAAAGACACATTCCTGGTTTATCCTGAATATTGATGCAAACCACACCGGTACCCCTCCGGCCGCGTGGGTACATATCGACGAACATTGCATCGTGCGCGAGGATGTTGTTGTCATGCCGCAGGAAGGGCACCCACGGTTCCTCTCCTAACCCTGGCAAGGTGCCATTAAATAGAACATTTTTACAGTGTTACACAGAAATCCAATTCTGCTGTTCATATCCAATGAATATTTCCATCCCATCCACCACCACGAGCTGTCGGAATACATCACAAATCTCCGCATCAGGTTGGTCAATGGAAAGCCCGTCCGAGTCGTATAATATAGTGAGGTGGGTGAGATGTGTGCGGCGGCCTGTGAGCGCACGGTGCAGCACCGCCCACAAAGCCGGAAAGGTATCGCTGCAGTAGCGGACGATGCGTAAACTTTGCAGGTGCGGGAGCAAAGGAGATGCCAAAATGGCAAATAATTTTCGCACAAAACCTGGGGGTGGGGCCCACAATTCGATATGGGTTAGGGTGGGAAGAAGTGGAAGATATTCCTGCATTCTGGGGAAGTGGAAGGATTCATCTGATTCTATGTAACTCCTGTCGCATATCCCGAGCTTTTGGAGTGGCGGTGAAGAGCGCTTCAAGAAAGCTATCAAAACCTCCTCGTCCTCATCATCGTCGTTGGAGCTGTCCATCGAAACAATGAGGGTTTGGAGGCCAGGCAGTGTGATATACCGGAGGAGTCCATTGTCGCTGTACAAACATTCTAGGGATCTTCCAAACCTGAGATGGCGTAAATTCGGAAGAACTCGGGGTCTAGGAGCGGGGTCGTGGCCAGCAGGAGTGAGAATCTGGTCAAATGCGCACTCGATAAGGTTCGGAGCACGATGAAAAAGATCGAGGATTGAATTGGGATCCAAGGAGTGATAACCTCCGCCCTTTGGGCCCCCAATAGTCAGTGATTTAAGCGAAGGGAATGACCCAGAGCTTAAACCTCTCAAAGGATTAACGATAGTTCCGTTGATAAGCATGGAAAATGACCAGACTTGAAATCTATCAATTTCAATGTTCTTGTTCTACTTACTGAAGTAGAACAATGCTTATTTATTACTTGGCCCACAATGAGAGCCATAGTGAGGTCCGGACTGTTGGCTAAAGGCACTTCACAAGAGATTACATTGTATAGACTTGCCTGGTCACCGATACCACGAGGGTCAACGGCCAGGTGGGCTACAATAGAATTTCACGTAATTCCATGTTCAACCATTCGATCGAATTGGGACATTTGGAAAGTGTCATATATCAAGGACATAACACATACCATCCATCTAGACTGTGAATTCATAAGGGATCCAGATTGCAGGTCAAATCAAACCGGCAGAGTTGTTGGTGCAGTTGCAAGCACAAGTTCGACATTTGTGACATATTAAGTCACTGTAACTTTAATCACACGAGCCTGGATGCCTTGGAGAGTTCAGGAATCGTTCAGGGACATTCAGTAACACTATCAGGATCAATACCTGCTGTGTATTTACGCGTAAATCATCAAGATTGTATTTACATGTAAATCAAAGTCCAACCATTTGGTTGAATTAGGGCACCATGGGAATAGTTGGGTGACAAAGGTGTCATCAGGTAGAGATGCAGGACAGCCAGTCTATCTATAAGGCTAAGCTGGTTGGCCCGGACAATCTCTACTACAATTTATCCGGACACGCTATACTTGGCACGTCTAAAGATAACAAGTCCATCAAGATATGATGGCAACACCTTAAAACAGAAAGATAGACGCACAGCTCTCGGGATAGAGCACTTATTTAGCCGTTTAACCGGGTCTTTGATGCATGTACCTTTAAATAGCCAGGTCCGTTTATCCGTATATACCGAAGTGGACTGATTGTAGTATTTATTTCTTTTATCATGTGATGTATAATTCCTGTATAAATACCAGCAGGTTTCGAGTGGAAAGTCAGTGAATTCACCCCTTCTTGCTAGACGTACTCAGCTCAGCTGGTATTGTCGCTTGGGAAGCCTTGGATTCACTAGGAGTACCATTGGGAACTTGTTAGTTCTTTCTGTTATTCTTGGTCAAATATATTTGTTGGTTGTTGGATCTATGTGCGCATAAGGAATCTTAAGGAAACAGAATCGTATCGGGTCGTATCGGGTCATATTGGGTTTCATAAGGATTTGGGAAAGCACACGGATTGGTACAGATATTACAGCTGAGAACATTGAAGGATCACAAGTCTTGAGTCTATTGACTACCAAGCACTACCCCACACCACCCCATCGAGATAAAACCTCTCTCTGCTTCGTCTAGACCCCATTAGAGTCTCTGGATTGGCTATTGGAGCGTTCTCAGTATTTACACGTAAATAGCTATTACCAGATCTAGTTCAAATATCAACCTAATACTTGGTTGGAACCCCGTACTCGCACCACTCGATTGTTTGGATTAGTGTTTAGTGTTGGTTTAGTGTTTGTTAGTGCTCAGGCATTGATAGACATTTTACTACATTTCACATCTGTTCAGGTAGTCAGTGTTTCACCGTATTTTTGACGGTCAGGGTATATCTCGAGATTTTCGAGACGGCGGGTGTGCCGGTGAACGACCGCAGCAACGTCGTCAGAAAATCCCCCACAAAACGAGATGGACAGAGGGTGATTACGCACGTGTCGAAGCCAGTTTTCCAAGACTTTTGCAAATCCTTCCGGGCGCGGAAACTGGACATGAATTGCAGCCCAAAGCGCAGGAGTGGAGAGGGCGATATCGGTCCATGAATTACAGACGTTTAAGAGGAGCATGGGATGTTCTCACACTCTGACCACCACCATCAAAGTCCGTGTAGCGTCCATTCGACTCCTGCTGGCGGCCCTAGCCCCAGCACAATCCCTGCAGACCTCCTAGCTCACCACCAACACTTGGAATCGCTCCTTGACTCCGCACTGGCCACACTGGCACTCATCCATTCGACATCGACTGTGACCACGAATGGGGTCATCCCGTATAACTTGCACATGGTGCAGGTCACACAGGCCCTCGCTAGACACATTACACCCTGCTCAGACCACACCCCCACTCTGCTTCCCACACCCACCGCTGACCAACGACTTAACCACGCCCACGTCCCCGCCACGTATGCCACAGCAGCCGCCGCTCACCCTAAGCGATCCCCATCCGCCTCCCCGACCATACCCGCGCCTAACACGACGCAACAATCACGACGTCATGCCCCGGTAGTGCCGACATGCGAACACCCCCAAGGAACACGCGTCGTTGTCCGATTCGATCTCACGCCGTCCCAGCCCCCTGATCGGGCAGCCCCGATCTCACTGTATTGCGCAATTGACGAAGTGTTACCTGACGCAGGCCTTAGTGGCGTACGGTGGACCAAGGGCGGGAATTTGGTCCTAGTCCCTGGGCGACACTTTTGTACAGGAAAGTTTCTTTTGCACCAACGCAAGAAGATCTGGATGGCTATTCGCCCGCTCCTCGGGCTCCCCAGTGATTACAAATGTCCTGCGTTCGAATCCAATGAACGCTGGCACTCGGTCGTCTTCCATGGTGTCCCCGCAAGTGTCACTGATGCTCCCATCGACCTCAAGGGCATCAGGGCCTGGCTTGACTTGGACGATGTCCAGGGGTCCCTCAAAGCATTCTCCATTCTCAGCCGCCCAGAGGATTTGCAGACGAGGAAGGAGTTGGCCATTCGGGTTTCTCTCTCGTCTGAAGAGGATGCCCGGCGACTCGTCGAAAACGGTGGCAGCTTCTACGGCGCCCAATGCAGGGTCACCCATTACACTTCGAAACCCCGTGCTGCCACATCATAGCAACAACCCCCACCTCCCGTTTCCTTCCACCCTCTCCCACCCATTTAGATCTAACATACCATAGTGGCCATGTGCCCTACTTATTCAGCGGGACATCCCCGCTTGGAGCGCGCTCCGTGCGCTCCCAGTGCTTGCCGCATTTACAGAGCAGAAGGATCAGACATTTCGTTGTGACTTATTAACCATAGTGCAGAGGGATCCCTACCATATCGTACGCGACAGAGGGGAAATAAAACTGATTAAAAAAATAAAAAAAAATAAAAAAAAGAGGAGCATGGGTATGTGGGCGGCTCCAGGTTCGGGGATGGGAGGAAGACATTGGATAAAAATCTCGGACAAGATTTCGAGCGGCAAACGCGCCAGTGGATCGAGGACGGCATTGAGCTGGCGCTCGACGAGGCTTTTACTGGTTTCCAACTTTTTGAGGACCTCCTTTTGCCGCTCGATATCGACGGAGATCTTCTTGATATTGGCCTGAAGCGCTTCCACG